CAGTTTTAATAGAAGAACACACTTCAACATTAATGTGACAATCAAATTTAGCGCTCAAATAAGGATTCTACGGTACAACACATTGATTGTCTAACATTTGACCTCTAACTTTAATAGAAATATCGTTATCACGGCGTTTATACAATGGATACAAGTTATCACTGAATAGTAGTATTACAAAAATCCCTAGGGCATTTATTTTTACAACATTTATTTGCTTCCATGCATACATTTTTTGGATTAAGGTCTTAACAATAATAGAATGAAGATAAGGATATTTGTTTTGGTCCGGAATTTCACATGAAACTATATTATTAACATCTGTAATAGAACAAATTTTATGACCATAGTTAAAGATCAACAATAGACGTGCATGAAGAAGCCCTCTTTTTTGAAATTCAATAACATATATATGCGCAACAATAGGGCCAAAAATTTTTATTTTTATTTTTTATAGAAATCATTTTTTAACTCTTCTAATTTTGCTCCAAATATACGTCTAATTAGATCTAGTCGATATTGAATCTCATCATTGTGTTTTAGTTCTTGCCTAATCTCTTACCAATTTGGATTACATGTTATAGTTAAGAATATATCTGATTTTCCATAACGTTGTACAATAGCCATTGCATCCATATATCTCCTTAGCATATCTCTAGGTCCAAATGTAAAGGACTGTGGCAAAACAAATTTTCTTTCAATTTTGTATCCCCTTGTCTCTCCATTTTGAACGTTGTCTACAATACCTTGGTAAAGTTCAGCTTGAATTTGTTTTTGATTGTTACGAAAATAGTCTAATCTTGCAGTTTCGATTTTAACATACATATCGACAACATATTGCTGAAACAATCTACCACTATGAAGCAAAACAGACTTACCGGAATGCCTAATTTGTAATTTGTATGAATAGTATTCTTGACAAGAAATCTGTGACCGTTGCTTCATTCCATTCAACACTGCAAAACGAATTGAAAATGAAATTCATCATTTGTTAACATTTGCACTGCTAAACTTAGTAGAGTGCACAATAAAATATTTTTCCAAACCTTGATTTTCTTTTTCTATAAATTCAGCTACAGAGGCAATTACAGTTGGAAAAGTAACTAATTCAGGCAAACGTTCGGGCTGAAAATAGGTCTTTCTACACCTCTCAATTCCTTCATGCCAACCAAATTCCCCATACGGAAAAAGTAATGAATACTGCAAAGGATCATAAGAACCGTAGTAATAATAAACTCTATGTGAATCACCGGAATGACCATATATAGTAATGTCACGATCACGAACATTAGCATTCTCATCATCTTCAACCTATATAGCAGCTACTTGAGATGCTGTAGGAGTATTGAAGACTCTTTGATCAAGTCCTGGGTCACATCTTACGTGTATTCGATGGTCTTGCAAGTTCGTTGTATGACTTAAAGACCTAAAGAATCTACTATATGAATTTACCTTAAGGATTTCAATTAGAACAATTAAAGTACATTGAACAAAGTTTTCTAAATTTTTCATATGATTTTAAAGTTCATTATCTGTATCATAAAAATATAACTGCATATAAGAATGTGTACTGTTCTGTGGGATAAGTTCATTTACGTTGAACATTAGCATTCTCATCATCTTCAACCTATATAGCAGCTACTTGAGATGCTGTAGGAGTATTGAAGACTCTTTGATCAAGTCCTGGGTCACATCTTACGTGTATTCGATGGTCTTGCAAGTTAGTTGTATGACTTAAAGACCTAAAGAATCTACTATATGAATTTACCGTAAGGATTTCAATTAGAACAATTAAAGTACATTGAACAAAGTTTTCTAAATTTTTCATACGATTTTAAAGTTCATTATCTGTATCATAAAAATATAACTGCATATAAGAATGTGTACTGTTCTGTGGGATAAGTTCATTTACGTAATGATATACTTGTCCTTGAACCTTGAATGCGTAAATACCTCTATATGATTTGAAGAGCTCTTTGTCATATTTGATACCAAATAAAGTGAAAGCAAAATGATTATTATATCCTCTTGCAATCTTTTTAAATTCCACACATTGAGGTTCTTTGGAAGTAAACAAGTTGTAAAGTTCAGTTGGTGAATCAGGAATGCAGAGATAAACTTTTCCATCTGAGCAATAGAAGCCTTTACTTTCTCTATAAAATTTTCTTGCACAACAATATTTATAGCTATTGCATGTTGGTAATACATATGAAATCATTGGTATGTTCAGTACATTAAAACTACTTCGTAATGCAGAATTGGAAATATCATGTGTCTCTTGGTTTGAAGTAGAAGCCTCAAAATCATGGTGCATTATAGATTGCTGCACTCTTTCAATGCTAGAATTATTAATTTCAGATGATATGGGGTCATTTATCCTCTTGCGACGATCATTGCATCCAATTCTAAGTCAATTTCACCTATCCCTTTGCCTTTGATTTTGTTGTTGACAATGGGACATTGTTTCGAAATTCAGAGAACCAGTCACTCCATTAGAACATGTTTCCGAAACATTCATGAGAACAATTAGTTAACTTATCGAATAGTTGGAGCCCAAGGTTACCAACAGGAACTAAAAGAATAAAAAAAAGGCCATTAGCACATATATTACATCATACATATGTAGAAACTAAACTTTTAAGCAAAATAAATCTGCCTACATAAAATTGTTTAAGACATTAACCTATTGACAATATTTAAAAACATGATAACTAATAGCATAAATTGCACTTTCTAAAACATACAAACTATAACCATCCAAACTAAAGCAATGTAGGAATTTTAAAGCTACAATTATGTTATTTGCTCTTTCTAGTATTTAATGATGCAGATTATTGATAGCCTAAAAGATTAAACAAATGAGTTTGTATAATTTAATAAAAAATATGTAAAATTTAATTTCGAGTTCATAATTTATATACCTATATGAAACATTTTCAACGCATTCTAATACTGCATATGTGAAAGAATTAATTTCATTAAATAAGGAAGTGCAATACTAAGTGTACATGGGTCCCATACCAATCACGTATATTGACTGCATAAGTTGATTGATTACTCAGCAATTAAAAAGACAACAAAATGATCTATGTGTCCCTTTAATATTTCATTCTTCATTTTGTTATTTTAATTTTATATGGGCATCAGGCATGTAGTTAAACAAGAAAATAATTAATTTCTAATTTTCCCTTCAATTACGTAGTCACGTGCAAAAGAAGCAGGTTGTGATTCTTGAATTTGTTTTGGTTTTGCATTTTCTCTTTTCATTTTACATTTTCCGTTTTCACTTAAAAAATGTTTGTTCCAAGTGACAATAGCATACCTATTTGGCATTCAAAATCGAAAATTATCGAAAACTTCACCATGCACATAAGTCACATAGATTATTTTTGTTTAAAGGGGACTTCAAAGAGAAGCGCTTCTCCATCTTTCGTTTAACATCAAGTCTTTCATTACGAGTTTCAATTCACTATTTATGTATTGCTACTTATAACTCATAACCCATTTCTACATTTACTATGTAACTCCATTTTCTAGAAAACTTAATTCATTCTATTCATATAACAACTTTTAAGCACTTATTTTCATTCATTTTAAATGTAGACAATATTGAATACCCAATTTGGCCATCAAATCATGCAATCCATTACATTCCACAAGTCCAAAAAGGAAAAAATAGAAAGCAACTTAATGGTTTTGTTACTTTAGTCAATTCAAACACATGATGATCTAACACGTGTATTCCAATAATCCAAAAAAGAAAGAAGGAAAGCAAATTAAAGGTTTGGCTACTTTAGCGAATTCAAACACAAAATGATCTAAGAGGACTATTAGTTATAATTAAATCGATCAATCAATTCAAAGAAAACAAACTGCAACACATTAATGAATGAAATTTGTATATATTCCACACATTAAGAGATTCAAAATCTCAAAAGGAAAAAAAAAATAGATTAAGGAGGTTGTATTCAATCAATGACTACAACACCGTTTCTTCGTTTAGCAACCTTTGAAGAAACCGAAAGAAATTCCTTCAACGATCTCTGATTTCATCACTATTCAACGTCATTTTCGTTTGTCTTCTTCTCTGAAGGTAAGTATAATTATCATGCCTTCAATTTCTTCATTTAGTGTAGATTTCTCGATTTTTTTTTGTTTCTCTTCTTCTGTGAAGGTAAGTATAATTTTCATGCCATCAATTTCTTCCTTTACCATAAAAAATCAACATTTTCAATAATTTGCCTCGACAGCCAAACAAGTAGACAAACCACATAACACTCTCTTTCATAACCATGGATATAAATATACACAGGACATTTACACTAACATAAAGCTAAATGACCAAAAAAGACAAAAAGAAAAGGAAAAAGCAAAAAATAAATCAATAAATATATAAAAAATAATAAAGAAGTATTTAATAAAAATTTACATATCTTTTGAACAAAATAGCAATATTGTAATGCAACATGTGATTACACTAAAGTAATATTAAATCTTAAAGTATAAGTACTCATACCTGTTGCTAGCACAAAATGGAAACGACAAAGATCCCAAGAGACGCTATTAGTCAAACCCTACACAATATCAATGAACAAACATAAGATTTAACTGGTACGAATGGATGAAATGACAAACTAACAATTAAAATAATTTTCAAGATTGAAATACAATATATTGAAAACAACAAAAGGCCAACTGGCACAAAGAAATAGAAAGAAAATATTGAAGACATATTTAGGAATTTTAAAAAGTAAATCTTAAGAAATCAAAGCCAAAAATGAACACCAACTTTTTTACAATATTGCAAAAATTATATATTTCCAATTCCCATTCAGAAATTTTCACCCACCTACACTTAAAGTCCATAAAATTGGGGCTTTTCAAATTTTAAACCCTTCACATGAAATAGTCAACAAAATCAATTTCTATTTTGAAATTTCTACTCGTCTACACTTACACTACTAAAAATTGGGGCTTTTCAAAGATAGTAAAAAAAACTATGTAGAAAACCTGCAATAAGACCGGAAAGAATTACAACAAACCAAAGAACACACAGATCTGTACCTATGTCTACCTGTTTGACTAACAAGGCACAGTTCACAACACGATAGCAAAACTTTCGAAGATCAATAATAACGAGTGGTTTTGTAGAAGATTTCGAAAAAGTGTGTAAAATGAATACAATATCACAAAATAAGACATGACCACAATCTTGAAATGTGGACAAGAACCCGAGATTTCTATTGGAGACTAAAAAATGCGAAGAGAACTGCCAGGGTTTTGGTTTGCAGCACAAATGAAGAGAAGAAAACATTTTTTAACGATTGAGAGAGAAGAAGAGAAGTAAAGTATTGATGGCTTTGGTATCACGTTTTGGTGAGATATTTTGTATACAATATAATACATAAGGTATAAGAAAAGACCATTGGACCTGATTTTGAGAATTAGTGTAATGGACATTTAAGGGTAAAATAGGAAACAAACAAATGCTTCCTAAATGAACAGTGCAAACAAGATTCTTTCTTTTAAGGTAAGTAGGACTAGTTTTCCACCCGTGCAATGCATGGACTATGTCATTTTTTAGGTATATTAACAGGTCAAAATATCTATTTATTTTTCTCAATAAATCTACAAATTTGATTAATTGTTGCGTAAAGGAATGGAGAAAAGTAGGAAATATAGTATAACAATTTATAACCCATATAAATTATAAAGTGATAATAATTTTATTAGGAATTTCTACATCCAAAAAGAAAAATAAATTGACGTCATACACATAATTTTTTTTTTAAAGAAAATGATGTAAATTATATTAAGAAAATTATCGCGACAAAATAATAAACATTAATAAGATAATTGATTTTTTCAAGAAAAAAAAAGAGTGGTTAGATTTGAAGAAATCTTCTCAATTGTTTAATTATATAACCGTTTAATACATACGACTTATTTAAACTCACGACAATTGGTTTACGTTCGAAGGTCCCTTCTTTTACTTCAGTACGAATAAAAAATTTAAGAGTTTTGACTCAGGAAAAAAGGATAATATGGGAATTGTTCAGTTTGTTTGTATGCATCTTTAGGTATTTTTCTTCTTTCATTTTTCTTTTTTAAAAATGGTTGCTTGAAGTTGATTATTATATCAATTGAGCTGTACATATATAGTTTATAATGGTTATTTGTATGCAGGGTTTGTTATGGAAATCAATTTTGGGCTTCTTGATTTTGGATGTTTGTATCCATTCATTAATCACTATATAGTACTTATTAATAACCTTCCCTGACTCTCACTCACTCCCGTACAAACAAATACGTGATGCCCAAAAATAACTGTCGTATGGTTTAACATATACTACTTGTGATGCACATGGATACCATAAGCTGTTTTAGATGGAATTTGTGTTTTTAGCACATAGCACAAGGAATCAAATACCAACATCACTTCATTATTGTGGGATTTTGAAAAGTTTTGTACTTCATTAGTTGTAGCTTTAATTTCTTTTCCTTTCATCTTTTAAATAATGGAGATAATTATAAATTTTTACCCAATTTTGATGAAATTGGTGTGTGATTGTTATTTATAGATGTTTGCAGGTGTCGTCTTTGGGAACTTCAAGCTTCTTTATGTTGTGTTCTTGGATCAAGAAAGTCTCTGAATTCATCAATTGGATTATATGGGTAAACATTTCTAGTTCTACTTAAATGCTGAAATACATATCGCACAATGCTCTTTTCTTACTTTTGTCTTTTTCCTTTGTCATCCTTAATAAAGGAACAGATACTCAGATAGTGCAAGATATGAATCAATAGTGGTTTACCAAATTTATTATTCCAAGTTGTTAGTGCAACTCAATTTGTAATAATGAGACGAATAAGTATAAGAGATTATGTTTAAATTTTGTGAAATAGTCATGTCAATTCTAGCGAGCTGTATGATCACAATGTAGTGGTTAAAGAGCTTCTGCTAAACTGACTGCAGCTTGATAATAAACACATTAGTAGAAAGTAGAGAAATTAATTACGGTAAGAATTTTATTATTTAGAAGGAAAAATGCAAAAATGGCATCATAATGCAATTATCATTTTCGTGGAAGATGTGATGATCGAACACTTGAGTAAATGTTTGGCTTTGACAAAAAATAACATCTCAAACTGATTTGTTTATCAAGCATTTACAAGATTTTGATATCTCATTGAGTT